TTTTTTTTTTTTTGCAGAACTGGGGATTGAACTCAGGACCTTGTGCTTGCCAGGGAAGCACTAATTTCACTGAGCCATCTCTCCAGCCCCTAAACAACTGAGCTAATGGGCGGGCCCCCTGACCATTCTTATAGACATTATTGCTCTTAATAAAATAGACATTTGAAACTTCTTTATAAAGGTAAAAGGGTTATTGAACATTGGAGAAGGGACAATTATATTGAACACCTGAAAGCACTTTGAAATTAATATACTAAATAATTATTGTATTTTAGCAACTGTGATGCAGATTTTTGTCTGTTCTTTCTTTCTGGGTTAGCAGTACTACCTGTTCTCTCCTGCGATGTGATAGTAGCGAGGATGTGATCATAATCCATGATTCTGGTTCCCTGGCCGCAGTGGTGTCTACTGTTAGTTCCCTACACTGCTGGGCACAGTGGTTGATCCAGGGGCTCATCTCTGACCAGTCCAGCCAGAACAAGATCCTTCTAGCAAGTCGCTGTGGCTGAGTCTGTGACTGTTGTGGATCATAGGTAGGTAAGACAAAACAGGAGAACACAGCCTGCCTACCGAGGGAAGTGGAGAACCCAACGGGAGGAAGGGAGCTCCGGGGAGATGGCTTCTTGCTGTTGCTGACCTGTGTTCTTCCTCTTTCCTGCCCACATTTTTTTTTTCTTCTTTTGGCGGAACCAGGGATTGAACTCAGGCCCTTGCACTTTGCCAGGCAAGCGCTTATTCTACTGAGCCATTTCCCTGGCCCCAACCACATTTTGAAAGGTAGACAAAATTGCTTTCCTCTCTGTTATCTTTTTTCTAGGTTGCTTTAAATTTTTGTCATTTAAAAATTTTTAAAAATCTCTAGTACTATTCACAATATTTTATTTCTAATAGAAATATGCATAGATTAAATTTTTCTTTAACTGGAAAGCTGTGACTCTTTAGGCATGTCATTTATATTCTCTCACCTTCAGTCTGTCATCGAGCATCATAATAATATTTATTTGTCAGGATTTGCTTACAGAGTGAGTGCATGCATTTAATGAGATGCTATATATAACATGCACAACTCATAGCCTTTCCATATTATTTTCTGTGAAACATTTTGTTTACTCGTTGAGGTAGAAAATGTGCTAGGTTGGAGTTTTCAAAAACCCATCTCTTTTGTCTGCAGCTTTGCATTTTTTCTCTCTGCAGATGGACCTACTTCCACATTCCATGAAAAAAAAAAAGCACATAACACTTTACTATCAGTACAGTGATGAAGGGTAGGTCTTCAAGGGGTGGGAGCAGTTACTGACAGCAGGGAGGCGGTCCCTACTTGCCGGTGATGAGTAGGTTCTGCAGCACCACGATGACCTAGCTCCTGTGCAGGAACATCTTGGAGATGTAGTGGTCCTTGTTGACCTGCTTCAATGTGTTCTTGCCTTTGCAAGTCCACACCACCTTCACGTTCTCCAGCACTACGTTGCAGTGCCTGTCAGAGACCTTCACCTGGCCTAGGAGTTTCTTATTGTTGCAGCAGTTGATGAGCACCTGGGTGTTGTTCTTGACTGACTGGGTCAGCACAGAAAGTGGACCCATATTAAATTCCTCCTCCACCCACTTCTGCAGCTCCTCTGGGGTCATTCCACTCTTGGGCTTGTTGAGGAGGCTCATGGTGGTAGTTTAGCCTCTGGGTTACTCTTGTCTTCCCACATTCCATGAACTTTTAACACTGCCATGTAAATTATTTTGGTCAGTGAGCTGTTAGCTGACTTTAATGCAAGCACAAGCTTGAATAGTGTTGCACAATGCAATCTGTTCTCTTGATCATGCTCTCTGATTGCACCTAACACCCCCGGCTTCTTCTAGAGGAGGTGAGGTTTGTGGTTAAGAGCTGCCTGGGGAGACTTAGTCTCTTGAGTAAAATAAATTCTTTTTGTTTTATGCCTTTGAGGTTTCAAAGTTATGATACAGCCATAAGTAGGGCAGCCAGTAGTTAACATGCAATTCTAGCAAATAGATTTTAATTCGAACTAATTCTTTTAGTAGAAAAACATATAATACAAATGGATATATTTGTGGCAATAAAAATCTGTTCATTAAAAATCTAGTACAGAAAAGTTTTACATCCATAGATACCATTGTGAAAATGGCCAGGGATACTGGTTCCTTATGCAAATATAATTAGAACCCTGAATCCCACCAGAATATTGCAAATATGGCATCTTATAAAGTAATATGAGCGAATGGATGCTTTAATGGCCATTGTTAGCCTGTAATCCATAGATTCAGAAGCCCCCATCTGTGAGACACACCATGGGAGCACTGCACATGCTGTGTAGCATAGACAGTCTAGTGTGAAGAAATCTTCCAGTTCTGACAAATGTTAAAGTAAGAGCTGTTACTGATATTTGTATTTTGACCTGTTCTTACATGATGTGCTATATAGATTATTCAGTCTGAAGAATATGCACATAATTATTTGATTTGTTGTGCATATTCAGTTGATACGGAGCATCTACTATCATATGTGGGATGTTTCCTATTCTCATGGCTGGGCTATACGCGTCTACACATCAATCTTACAGGAGTTCAACCGACAAGAGAATGAAGAGGGTTGAATATGATTGAGAAAGTTCTCATGGAAAAATGGGAAAGAGATGTCCTGTGGAAGGAAGGTGGGCTTTATTCAATCAGTGAATAGAGCAAATAGGTTATAAAAGCCTTTGCTTGTTCTGCCTGTCTGAGATGAACATTGGTTGTGTCTTCAGAGAGGAATTGACATTCTGGTTCTCACAACCTTTGAACCTGCAACAGAACTGTGCCATTTGTTCTCCTGGGATACTGTCTCTCTCCTCCTTCCTATTAAGCATTATGTATATGCATATATATGTGAAGAATGTAGACTAATATATATGTTCAGTGGGAAATTGCTATCAGAATGTGCACCTCGTAAGGTGAATTTATCTAGTTTAGTTAGTAGAAATAAAGAGAAGTTTAACAAAACAACAAACTAGAAGTGAATCAGATTTTACAGGAACAGGGAGGCAAAACAAAAGTATAAATGTGGAGGATCACCTGAGCAGCTCTCTTTGAAAGAAGAGCAACTGTCTCCAGTTTGACTGAGCCTGACCCTGTTTCCTCGTATTGTTCTGTACAGAGCTGGCTAGGACTTCTGTTTATCCTTCAGTTGGCCTTAAGCAATGTCTATTGGTCTAGCTGAGGTGCTGGTGATAGTCTTTGAAGGTGGCATGCGTGTGTGTTTCCCTGGTAATCTACACCTGCTGCTTTTTAATGTGAGCCGGGTCAAGACAGGACCTTAGAGCTAATGCTCCGTGCTGCCAGCTGGGATCAAGATAGAGGCTATGACTTCCTGGGGCTTGAAAGACTACATCAAAGCTGAAGAACCAGACTTACCAAAACATTAAATACTATATGATGCAAATTACTCTCTCTGCATATCCTCTCTGCATATAGCAGAGGTAAATTTAGGCCACCCACCTAGCTCAGCTCATAGTAGTCACCTATTTCTCACAATTCTCAGTCAATACTCCTCAAGCCACTCCTCCACTGAATAAAACTGGGTGAGGCCCTGGGTCCCTCTCTTGGTTCTGGAAAGCCATGTTCGTGGCTGGACTTAGAGACCCTTGACTCCCCGATGATTGAAAATATAATTTAGTGTCTTTATTTGCACCATGGGTTGCATTGAAAGTGGTAGATCGGCATCAACTTGATGGAATTCCAATAACATAACTTTGGGATTACAAATATTGACTTCTTGGACCGAGATGAGGATCTTGAAGTGTCTCCTACAGTATAAATATGCAGAACTGTGGTCCAGTTTGCTTTTTTTTCTATTGCTTAGAACAGTGAGGGCACCTCTGAGCTATTGGAGTCTTGGCTAGAACTAGCAAAGTCTACCAAAACTGCTTTACACATTCAGCTCTTTACTCGGCAAAAGGACTCTCTGCCTTTTAGCAGCTGTTTTGAGTAAAGAGGTAAAGTTAAGAAGGTTTAAATGTAATTTTGTAGTAATGTAAAGTTTCTATTGGAGATGGTTTGTGTCAAAGGCTTAGGGGATAGAATTTCTAGGCACAGGCAATTTTTCTTTTGTTTTTTCACTGCTGTCACTTTTGGATGAAAAACTTTTGAGCCTTTTATGCACATTGTCTTTTGTAGTGTCCTCTGGTTTTACTGTGCATGAAGAAGTCCTAAAAGCTGGAAACCCAGGACTTGGGAAAGAGGAGAATCATTCTTTTTGTGCCTGCTGCCCTATGTAGATGCAGAGAAAGATGAAATCAGTCACCTAAAATATCCAAAACAACAAAAATAAAGAAGAAATTGGTAAGCACATTCTTTGTTACTACCTTATTCCCAAAAAATAAACAACAAGAAGTGTGAGATTTAATGAAATGATGCAAGAATTTAGAGTGTATGAGTCAAAACTTAGAAGTTAGGGGTCCATGTATAATAGATCACAAAGTGATGGAGCAGTAAGACTTTTTCTTCCTTTTTTATTATTGTTTTTAATTAATTTTACTGAGAAAGAAATAGCAATGAGACAGTTTCAAAACAGTTTAGTATGAGTTACAATAATTAATACATTGCAGATTATTGTCTTCATAGTGGTTATTCATAGTACAAGACACAGACATAATATCCTGTCCAACACTATTAGTACAAATCTTTCTTCTCATTGAACAAAGAAAAAGTAGCTGCATATCTATCTTAACTATTTTGTATATAGACTTTTTCTGAAATAAAGGACAGGCAGCAGGGACGGGGCTATGGGAAAGTGAAACAGGAGTTATAACCACTGCTCGGAACTTGCATCTTGCAAAACTGAGTCACTTCAGGGCTTAAGAAAGCAAATCATGTGACGACAACTCCACATAGGAAGGGTGATCAGCAGAAGTCAGTGAGCTTCTTTTCTTTTCGTAGAGTTGGTGGTGGAGGAAAAGTTAGGAGCAGTTTGCTGTATGTAGTAACATACCAGAGATCAGCAGCAAAGAAGCAGAACAGAAAGTGTGGGGGAGTAAGGTGTGAACTGTAAATGTAGAAAGATTTATTTCTTTTCCAACTGAGTGAAATTAGGATGCTTTTATTTATTTATTTATTTATTTATTTATTTATTTATT